ACACAATCGTTAGTCTGTTTTTTTACTGGTACTGGTAATAAGTCTTAGTGATTTTAGTGGTCGAAGGTCCTAATGGCATGTGGTCTCAAAAATAGACTTAAATTCGCTTATGAAATTTCGTGAATTCATATGGGGCGGTTCTGTTGAGCTGGGGATCTGTCCAAGATGGAGGGCAAAGGGCACGAGATGACTCTTTGTGAGGACGGAGAGAGGGTGCATCGGGGCTGTCTGAGGGGTACCGGCTAGGGGAACTTTCATTGGATGCGATTGGCGTCGGGCAGCTTTGGTTGTCGGACGGGTACCGGCTGATGAGGGTTCACTCTGGTGCGATTGGCCTCAGGCGGTGCTGGCTCACCCCCTCGATGACGGAAACTGGAATCTCTGAGGGGGCAGGAGATTGCAGGGTGAGGATTGTGTCTGGCTCTTGCTGAGGACATGGTCTGTCGAACTCTTTACTAGGACGGAGTTGGGAAGGAGAAGGAGGTGAGTGGAGGTTCTGTTGGGTTTTGGGGGATCTGTTCAAGGTGAGGGGTAAAGGGCACGAGATGATTCTTTGTGAGGACAGAGAGAGGGTGGAATTAGGTTGTCCGAGGGGTACCGGCTGGGGGATCTTTCATTGGATGTGATTGGCATCGGGCAGCCTTAGTTGCCGGATGGGTACCGGCTGATGAGGGTTCATCCTGGTGCGATTGGCCTTGGGCAGCGCTGGCTTGCCCTCTCGATGACGGAGACTGGAATCTCCGAGGGGGCAGGAGATTGCAGGCTGAGGATTGTGTCTGGCTCGTGCCGAGGATATGGTCCTTCGAACCCTTTACTAGGATGGAGTTGGGGGAGTACCCGGGACCTCCCCTTCGATGACAAAGACAGAACTGTTGCACTTGTCGGTCTTCCGGGACCTCCCTTTCGATGACGAAGACATAACTGTGGCACCTGCAGGTGGGGTATCACGCGTCCTACTAGTGAGTGGGCTAGCTGGTAGGATGGTAATAGAGCACAACAGCAACAGAGATGGTGGCTCTGTTGCAGTAAGTCTTGCTGGAGTGGAGACCTGGGGATTGGTTGGAGGGTTGTAGACATGTCTGAAGTGGTTCCAATATTTCTGATTCATAGTAGCTTTCTAGCCTTAAAAAAAGGAGGAATGAGGTGAGAGAGAGAAAGATATCACACGTCCTACTAGTGAAGGGGCTAGCTGGTAGGACAAAAACAGGGCATAGCAGCAGTAGAGATGTCTCTTATACACATCTAGATGTGTATAAGAGACAGGGATTCTTGAGTCGTTTTTTGAATTTTGTCTAACTCTGAAGTTCCTTGAAAAAAAGTCTGAAGTAGCTCCAAAATTCTTAGTAGGCTTCTAGTTTCATCTTCATGGAATTTTCTGATGACTTTTCTGAATGTGCTCGTTATGGGACGCTGGGCCCGGTTCCCAGTTTGTGCCAATATGTGAGGATATGGTTGTATCTATGGGACGCTGGACCCGGTTTCCAGCAGGTGTTGCTCCCCACCAATAGATGGAGCTTGTGTTAAAAAAAAAAAAAAGAAAAAAAAAAAAAAAGAGGGAAACAAGTGGGTGAGAATGAAGGGGAAAGGTGAACTAGGGGGGGCGGCTTTCGACATTAAGGAAATGTTCAGCCAGCTCCCCCATGCGTCCATTCGAAAGGCGGTTGAATGGATTCTGGACTGGTACAGGGAGAAGGGCAAAGTGAGGGTTAATATCCGAAGAAGGGGAAAAGGAGCTGCTTTTGCAGACAAAACAGGCAACAGGTGGTGGATCAGCATCGACTTCGGAATGATAGCGTCAATGGTCGACTTCTTACCTGATGGCGACCGACAGGCTTATCAAGCAACGAATGGGCATACCAATGGGGAAAAGCAGTAGCCCTCCCCATTGGCATGCATTTTGTGCGCCATGAACGAATATAATTTTCTAATGAGTCTGGGGGCTGATCGTGGCTTGGTTAAGGGCATGCGCTTGATAGACGACATCTCCATTTTCATCTGGTGCCCGACTAAGAATGGTGATCGTCGTCGGCAGGGGATTTTAAGCAAGTTCGAAAAAGCCTATGACAAGAAATTGACCCTGAAGAGAACTGACGAGGGAGCTGGAACTTGGAATGTTTTGGGGACAAAGGTGGAGATCAAGATGAACGAGGTAACCTGCCAATGCGTTTCCCAAGAATTTCGATCAGGTATGGAATGATGGGCCTCTGACATACCGCACTTTTCAGGATTTCAAATCCTTCTCGTTGGTACGACAAAAGAAAGCGGTAATCACAAGCACACTGCACCGTATCAAGAAAATGAGCTCTATGGATGACCTGGCCGCATTACCGCTACTTACAGTAAAAAGACAGTTGCGTGTGCAGAACTACTTGGCCGAGATGTTCAATGGCAGTCTAGGAAGATATGTCAAAAAGCACGCCCCCTCTTGGGAAAAATGGGAGGGGCGACTGGGCAACTGGTAGTAAAAATGAGAGAGGCAGGAGCGTGGGTAAGTGCACACGGAAGTGGGGGTTTCGCGTTGGCTCAAAACGGGAACCGCCGGGTTTGGAGTCAGTGGTAGGAAGGATGAGCGTAGGTATAGATGGGGGGTTGTCTGAAGGGTTTATTTATTTATTTATTTACTTATTTTGTAGTTAATTTTTTTTTGCTATGTCAAATTAAACGCTAGTGGAAAGTCCGAGCAGGAGGAGTTGGTACCTGGTACCAGGTCACGCGTTATGACAACGTTTTTGCGCCGCTCTGAGGAAATAGCGAGTTGAACTGAGTGGTAAATATTGATCTCAGGAGAATTACCGTGGATTTCACCGAAGATCGCGCAAGATTACCTGACGACGGAAAATCTGGATTTATCCCTCAGTACCACGAGAAATGTCGTATTAGACCAGGAGGCGTGAATGTATTGCGAAACAAGTTTACAACATGAAGTAGTAATACCGACGGATTTTCAACGAGTAGCGGGAAGATGAAGATAACGAGGGGTCTGATGAGTAAGTAGCCTAAAAAGATGGGCCGAATGCAGGCAAGTACGCATTAAGGATCGATTCGAGTTAAATACAGCTGACAAGTAACCCGGAAGGGAAAAAAGGTGCGACTGCAGGCAAGCTTTATCTGGACTTGGCTTTGAGCAAAATGCAGTGGACAAGCCGCTATGGTTTTTCGGATGGTCCCTACGGGGTAAGCCACGCGAATAAGGGAGGGAGTACGAAGAAGGGTTGAAACCGGATTTTTTGTAGTATATATAGACTTAATGCTCAGTAGGTTCCGTCATCTCGATACCCCCTGATGAGGTTGCCGCTGGTAGCAACCGAAACTAGTAGGGGATGCCAGCTGCTAAGGTCCGACGTGGGCTGAGGCGGAGCCACGCTGTGGCAAGAAGCTCTCTGCGCGTTAATGTCTTTCCTACTTGAGCTTATTGAGATGGTATTTTCGTCATCATCATTATCATCTTTATCATCATCATCATCATCATCATCATCATCATCATCATCATCATCATCGATAACTTTTTGTTATCAGTAGAGTTTGCTCTTCAAGGCTTCGTGTCGCTTTTCGTATCATCATCATCATTCCCGTTATCATTATCTTCAAGATGCTATCCTTCGCCTCCAACAAAATCCAAGAGGAATGACAATTTGGTGAGAGGGTAGGGGAGAGCCCTGCCCCGCAGGGGTTTCATTAGGAGGGAGGTGGAATCCTGGAGGGGGTATGGGCAGATTGTGAGGAATACTATTTTCTGGGGCTGGGCATCAAATCCCAGCGGGGGAAGATTAGAGTAAAGGGATAGATAGGGTAATGGAGAGAATGGAGGTGTGCTGAAATTCTCGGCTATCATCATCTTATTATTGTTATATTAAGTTTTTTGGTGTTTTGAAATTCTGGCTGCATTTCGTATTCTTCCACATCCGGGATATAGGTCTACAGAGATGGTTGAACCTGGACTGATATCTTCTGAGTTGCTCTGTTCTGAGCCCTTGGTTTGCCGATGCCAGAACGACGTTGGCCGGAGCTGGGGCGTTGCCCTGTAACCTGTAAATAGCAGGAGTGTAAGGCCTTGTAGAGAGATCTGGGGTTTGCTGAGGGTGGAAGGCATTCCAGTGGTGAACCGGGGGGGGCTGAAAGGAGGCGAGAAGAGATCAGCTATGGTTGATGTTGGTCAGGTTGTTTCCGTCTCTGTAGTATAGTGTCCTGGTACAGGGAGGGCTAGGAGTTGTACTGGGATTTGGAGCCCATAATAGCTGATATAGCATCATCATCATCATCATCATCAACATCATCATCATCATCATCATCATCATCATCACACCATTAGTTTCATCATCTGATTATTGTTATATTAAGTTTTTTGGTGTTCTGAAGTTTTGGCAGCATCTAGCATTCTTCCACATTCGGGATATAGGACTTCAGAGATGGTTGAACCTAGACTGATTTCAACTGAGTTGCTCTGTTCTGTGCCCTTGGTTTGCCGATGCTAGAACGACGCTGGCCGGAGCTGGGGCGTTGCCCTGTAACCTGTTAATAGCAGGAGCGTGAGGCCTTGTAGAGAGATCTGGGGTTTGCTGAGGGTGGAAGGCAGTCTAGTGGTGAACCGGGGGGGGCAATGAAGCGAGAAGAGATCAGCTATGGTTGACAATTAGTTAGGTGCTTTTGTCTTTGAGGTACAATGTCCTAGTATAGGGAGGGCTGGGATTTGTTCTAGGATTAGGAGGCCAGAATAGTTGATATAGCATATTTTTCTTTAATTTTTCATATTTTTGAATCATCATTCTCATTAGCATCATTAATCAGTTTCATTAGTATCATCATGGTCATCATTAGCGGTTTCCATATGTTCATTCCGGCCAGACTGTGAGGACCCCGGCCTCAATCTTATTATTGGTAATATCAGCCTTGGGCACTGGGCCCGGTTAAAAAAAAAAAGAAAAAAAAAAAAAGAAAAAAAAAGAAAAAAAAAAGATGGTATTTTCGCACATGGTATGCCATGTTAGCACGGTCGTGTGATTGCGAGTCAGTTCTCCTGTCTCATCATCCTCACACTTGAGTTTCAGGAGTGCATGGCAAGGATTCAGGGAGGATACATTCTCGAGAGAGTTCTTTCTTGAGTCACATGAGATACAGGGTGCAGAAGGTAAGAGCAGCCGGCTTTGGGGATTGAATCCACAACCTGCTGAATGCCACTTGCGTGGAGGGCTGCGCTAGCGCTAGCGCCCTGATGCCGGCGGATCGGCGAGGCCCGGTCCCTCCGGCTAGACTAGCGCCTGGGGAGAAGATCTCCCCGGCTGCTAGGCCTGCGCGCGCGCCCAACAGATGTGTGTGGCTCTCTGAGTGCCATGTGGCATATGCTGTAGGTGACGTGGACGCCCGTGACGCACGGGCAGGGGTAGCGCGAGCAGTGAGAACGACGAGGAATGGCTAGAGAGGCGCAGCTCCCTGGGTTAGGGACGGAGTTGGAGGGGGAGCTACAACATGGAGCAATTCGATTGGAGGATATTATTTTCGACCACGAAGACGGCGTCTCACCTGCAGAGGATGATGAGGGTCTTCAAGATGAAGAAGACAAGGTCGACTATTTTGTAAAGCTCTGCACAGTCTGTGAAGATTGGGAAGCTGACGACGGCGTCTCGCCTGCAGAGGATGATGAGGGTCTTCAAGATGAAGAAGACGTGGTCGACTATTATGCAAAGATCAGCCCAGTCTGTGAAGATTGGGAAGCTGAAAGGCTGACGAACCGTGGTGATGCCACACGGGATAGTGACGAGTATATGGGGGGGGATGGTAAAGAAGACAGGGTCAACTATTATGCAAGGATCTGCGCAGTCTGTGGAGATTCTGAAGCCAAAAGTGTGACGAACTGTGATGATGCCATGCGTGATAGTGACGAGTACAAGGGGTGGGATGGTGAGTGGGGGGCTGACCTTAGGTCGCCCTCTTATCAGGTCGTGGCAGAGAGGGCTGCCATCGGCAGTGAGTGGGAACATGCCTTTGACGAGGCAGGAGAGTGGGAAGTGGGATTGGGGCTATTGGCAACGACGGCAGCAGTGGCGGTGGCGGCAAAGGCAATGGCAACGGCAAGAGCAAATACAGAAATTGATATAGCAACGAAATCAGCAACAACAATAGTAACAGCAACAACTGCGATCGATGGGGGGGAGGAGTTGGAGCTATTGGCAACGATGGCAACAGCAAAAACATTAACAACAACAAAAGCAACAACAATCGGCGGTGGCGACCATGGAAGCAGCGAGGCAGCGCGCGGTGACAACAACAACACCAACAACACCAACAACATCGACGTGGACTGGGAAGTAGATGGGGAGATGGACCGTGAGCAGAGAATGGCAGTCGAGGAGACGGGCGTGGAGGAGGAGGATGACAATAACAACAACGGGGACACCCGTCTGCAGCGGGTTGATAGGGACCGGGCGGATGAGTGGAAGGTGGAGCACGAGTTTAAAACAGAGGCCGTGGCTGTGGTGGAGATCGACAAGAAGGGTGCGAAGGTGGACGACGACAACAACAACAACAACAACAACAACAACAACAACAACAACAACAACTCCAGCAACGGCAGTGAGCAGCGGCAGGGTGAAATGGGCAACACGGGCCTGAAGAATGACGACAGAACAATAACGACACTAATAACAACAACGCCTGTGAGCAGGGATTGGGCGAAATAGGCGGCGACGGCGCGAGGGACGACAACAACAGCAACAACGACGGTGATAACAACAACAACGACAATGACAACAACAACGACAATTACAACAACAATAACAACAACAACAACAACTACAAGACGTGGGGTTTGTCGTTGAAGGTCGCCACAACGACGGCTGGTGAGTTAAAGACAATGATGACAGCAGCATTAGGGAAGTTGAGGGGAACTAGTAGCTTGGTTGGGCTGGTGAGGTGCGATTTGAGGTTGAAGGTGAGACTTCCCGTTCCCCCCCGTTCCTACCCGGTGTTTCATCTTGATGATTCGTTTTTTCCTTATTGGCACCGGGTGGGAGTAGGATAGATGAACTCCCCCTTGTTTGATCACGTCTATTTGGTTCTCAACTCTCACGCCCTCAAGACTTATTCACGTGGCCTCATGAGGGGCTTGATGATTACGTTTTGATCTTACATCATCATCTCCACACAACATCGAATAGGGGATAAATGCTTCATTGGCAGGAGGGCAATTCTTCCCCGTGTAAGGAAGTAATCGATGCCTCTGCTCCTTTCGGTGATACAGGTGAGTTACGGATATATACTGATTGGCTTCACACATTGCTGTATAGAGATGCTGGACCCAATTTCCAGCTTATACACAGTACATCTGCACTTGGGTTTCGACCCTTTTTTTTTTTTTTTTTTTTTTTTTTTTTTTTTTTTTTTTTTTTTTTTGAAACAGGCCCTTGTGCAAGGCCTCTATCCTGGTGGTGGTAAGAGAACCACCGGGATTGAGGCTTTGCCTGGCGGGCCGCTCCGTCTATTGGTGGGGAGCATCACCTGCTGGGAACCGGGCCCAGCGTCCCATGAATACATCTGTTCGTACCAGTACATTCTTGAGGGTTACGCCATTTGGCTGGAAACCGGGTCCAGCGTCCCATAGCTGACCTTTTGCTTTCTACCTAGCCTGCAGCAGCATCGGGTACAGACGGGATACCCACCGGGGGGCACCGGTGGGACCTCCCCCCCTCCCCTAGCTCCTGCTCCCCTCCTGCTATCCTCCTGGCGTCCAACATCCCATCTACAGAATTTGGACAGAAGCTTGACAGAAAATTGACAGAAAATTGACAGAAAATTGACAGAAAAGATTGACAGGAATTTGACAGAGATTTTACAGAAATTTTACAGAACAATGTCATATCGAAAAAACCCAGTCAAATAGCCCCGTGCTGGAAACCGGGTCCAGCGTCCCCTGTCCCGAATATAACATCCCTGCCTACCCTGGGATGCGTGGCTGAGAAAGGCTGGGAACGTTCCATGCCCTGAGTATAACATCCCTGCCTACCCTGGGATGCCAGGCTGAGAAAGCGGATCGCCTCCCGGTGCCACTTTTGTATTGGACACTCAGGCTGAGACGGATCGTACAGTTCTGTTTATCCAACCTACCCTGCAGTGTGCCCTTCTGCCACTGTCTCTCTGCTGTCTGTCCCTACCTGCTATCCTTCTGGCCTTCTATCATCTAGTCCGACCTGCAGTGTATCCCTCTGCTGCTGTCCTTCTGCTGGCCATTAGGCTGAGCTCGTATTGAAGGGCCAAGATGAACAGGGATAAACAGGCTGGGGATGTGCTGAAGGGACAGAGGCGAACAGAAGGGATCAGGGGTCAGGGATCAGGGATCAGGGGATCAGAGGTAGGGAAGGAGCCGGAGTAGGGGGGCCACGGCCAGCGGGGGCAGTTTCAAGTAGACTGAAGGGGGACACCGGGCGAAGGTTCGGACCGGCAGACTATGATCATGGGGGGAGGGCCTCTTCCAGTACCAGTGGGTGGGGGGGGAAGGGGTCTGCAAATTCATGGGCCGGGCGTAACCGTTCGCCGGGATCGAGGTTTGTCCACTTATGGAAGATCAGCTGATAATCTCTTGCTATCTCCGACCGGTGTCCTTCTTGCAGCACTCCTCCCGTCTGATGATTGTCTGACCATCTCACCTCCGCCACCCGTCCTTTTCTTTCCCCTCCCAACCAATCCTGACTGAATCGGGATATGATCTTGTTGATGTCAGACCAGGAGTTCATTTGGTCCAATTTATTTCTGGCCACCTTCCATTGGGCAGCAATTTCATGTTGGACTAACAAACGCAATTGTTCTGTGACTTCACCTTCTTCGACCCGCGCCACTTCCATTTCCAAAATGCATCGTTTCCACCAGATGACCCACAGGACCGCCCGCCTGCCCAAATGAAACATGTTTTCCGCGAATGTGTCTCCCTGAATTGGGGGGTAATGTCCTAGTAATATGGCCCGCCATTCCCATGGCCATTCTGCCCCGGGGACAATGTGTCGCCAGATTCTGTCCCAAACCCTCCAGAGCAGAACCGAAGCCGGGCATTGGAGGAAGATGTGTTCGATTGTTTCGGCCCTTTTCCTCCTTGGATAGTTCAATAGGCAACGATGGCACCAGGGTAATGCCCGACCTTGCTGCTCCAGACGGGTGTGGTCTATCAACCAGTCATTTGTTGGCAGGCAGCGGTGGGCTATTTGCCACTGAAGGGCCGAAACCTTAGTGGGTCTATTCCTAACTTGAGTGAACCAACGGATCGGCTTGAGCAAGTCTCGGTCCACATTGAGATGTCGATACCACCTGTCTTCGACCGTCTCCCGCAATCTACGTTTGGGGTGGAGCATACGATAGACCGATTTCGTTTTTAGAGTGTGAAGTGTTAGTGTTTTTTTCAGCCTTTGTCTAGTCGTGACTACCTGGGACCAATGCCACTCGTCGGGGTCGAAGGGGAGATTCTCAATCGGGGTGGTTGGGCGGTAGGCCCATCGTTCACTGCCCACCCTGATGCGGTATATGTTCGTTTTGTCCTTCCAAATAAAAGGATCCTGGCTGCCCCGTAAGGAGCCATCCCTTTGGATGGCGAAAATCTCAATCAGGGCCTGTGTTTGGTTGACAACGTGTACTTGCCCGACCTCCTCCTTAAGACCGGGCAGGGCCACCCAGTCACCTTCTCTCAATTGAGGGCCTTTTCGAAGGATGTTRTACCACTGGAGGGGGAAACTTTCAATCAGGTCGTTTAATGCCGATTCCGTGCGATGGCASTAACGWAGCCATGCACGCATCCTTTCTGCASTCTTCCRGCATCCTCCTTCTATATCCCACAGATCTCCTACCCGACTGGCTCCATGTTTAACCCAACCTTTCCAAGGGGCGTCTGAGCTGCATCTCACCTGGCCCAAGGCATCCGTAATCAGACGATTCCCAAACAGCGGTTGTCTGAAAATTTCTTCCCATCGATCCGGACTGGGACGGTCGGGCGGTGGGAGCTTCCTCCATGTGCGAAGTAAGCGCAGCCAATATGTGTTCACCGGGTCCCCAATCTTGTCTTTCCTTGGCTGCTTCCAGTATCTGTCTTGTAGCCATACCAGGGGGTCAGTCTCCGGGGGGGCCTCCGGTGCTAGGGCAGCAATTTGTGCCAGGGCCAGAGGGGGCCAGGGGGAGGACGGAGAAAAGATGATGTGCTGAAGCCAGCGAAGAGTGAGCGCCTGGGATTGAGTGGTCGGGTCCACGATTCCTAGTCCTCCCCTGGTCTTGGGTTGAATCACTGAGTCCCAAGCTACTCGACTAATTACGTGGGGGGCATTACTGTCCCCTCTCCAGAGGAAGGTGGCTAACTGCTGTTTGAGTGACCTGAGCCCCCCGTCGGTCATGGGCCATACAATCGATTTGTACCATAGTGTGGCCAGAACCACATTATTAATGATCAGGGCCCTCCCAAATAACGATGTGTGCTTTTTATTCCATTGCTTTAATTTGGCGTTTCCTGGTCCAGTCAGCCACTCGTCGTTGGTCGTCGGCTTTCCGTTCGCTGTAAGTAGGACCCCCAAAACTCTCAGTGGGTCTTCCGGGGGGAGCCATGTGACTCGCGGGTTTTCAGGGGGTCTTCCTCCATGATGGTGTAACCACCAACCTGTAGTCTTCTGCCCCCAATTAACTGCCATATCTGAAAGTTGGCAGAACCGGTTCATGAGACTTTGAATTTCTTCCATGTTACGGTCCGTCGCTTCCACCATAATGGAAAGGTCATCAGCAAAAAGGGAGCAGATCGGCACAGCCTCCTCCGGGATATTAGTGATTTTGATACGAGAGAGGTTCTTGTGATGCCTGAGGCTGAAAGTGCTTCCATTATTACCACAAAAAGATAGGGTGCAATGGGGTCCCCTTGTCTTACAGACCTCGGGAGCTCGAAGGGGGGCGCTATCGACCCGTTTACCTGCACACAGGTGGTGGCATTTTGGTGAAGGATCCTAACCCAACGTCGAAAGGCTGGACCAAAGTTCATTCTTTCCAAGCATTTATCCAGGAATGTCCAGTCAACATGGTCATATGCTTTTTCAAAATCAATGAATATAATGGCCGCATTTCGTTGGGCTAGTTGGACCACCTCGTTAACTAGTAAGATATTTTCTTGTATATTCCTTCCGGACAAGAATCCTGTCTGGGCCGGGTGTATGACATCTTCTAGGACGGATGCCATCCGATTCGCCAGCGCTTTAGAAACCATTTTATAGACTACGGTGAGCAGAGTGATAGGTCTATAGTTTCTAATGTTCATTTTGTCACCCTTTTTATATAGCAATGATAGCACACCTCTACCCACAGTTTCTCCCATCTCCCCGACGTTCCACACCTTCTGATAATACTCCCATAAGTCTGCGCTTAGATCCGGCCACATGGTTTCCCAAAATTCCTTGGGGAATCTGTCTATGCCGGGCGTTTTGTCCTCTTTCATTTGGAGGAGTGCTGTCCAAATTTCATTTTTAGACAGGGGTTCTTCCAGTTGTTCCCGCTGTTGTGAGGAGAGGTGTCGATCCATTGGTGTTAGGAACTCCTCCAGTTCCTTGTCTCTTCTGTCCGTTCGTGAGGGTGGGATCTGGGAAGTGTATGACTGTTTAAAAAAAGTCTGAGTAATAAGTGTGCAGTGTGTTGTGTCAGTGACTATAGTTCTGCCGTCGTTTGGGTCAAAGAGGGCCTCTATGACTGTCCGCCTGGCCCGTGCCGAGGCCATGGAGAAGAAATGGGTGTCCATGGTAGCTTCCTGAGTAAATTTGGTCAGTTTTCCTCGAATTCTAATTCCTTGCCATCTATGTAGTGCGTATTGTAAGAGGCGATCTTTAATATCTTGGATGGTGGTAGTAAGAGATTGTGAATCTGCCCGTTGTTCCAGGGTGATTAGTTCTTTATGGGTAGACATTTCTTGCTGTTATCGTTGGGATGCCTTTGCTTTAAAAAGATCCTTGCATTTTTTTGCTAGATAGATTAGTCCGTTGTTGAACCATGTGATGTGTGAGTCGAACAGATGCTTTTGTTGACGCCAGAAGTTTCATTCGCCATGGATCATCTGTGTGAAATTTACGTCCTTAAGGAGGGAGGTGTTTAGCTTATAAAAGTCGGGCCCCTGATCTGACCTCTTTCTCATCGTCAGTACTATTCCGCATGTCTTGTGATCCAGTCCTGGGTGCGGG